CGCGATGCCGTTTCCAGGGGGCGCACGTGAAAGTCGCCGCCCTGGCACATGAATCCGCGGAGTCACGCGGTGGAAGGCGGAGCCTTTGTAGTGGAGGGGGCTTGCCGGAGCGGCCGGTGCCCTTCTCGCCGGTGCAGAGCGCGCGAAAGTTCTCGGCGGTGCGGCGGGACGACGTCGCCGAAGAGCTCCAATCAGCACTGCTCGCTGACTCTACGTGCCGTTCACTCACGATCAGCCCTCCTGAGCCTAGTGTCACGAAGTTATGTCCGAAGAAATATCCGTCTAAGGATGATCATATCTATTAATTCTCTCTTCATGTCGAAGAAAACCTTGGGGTTGGATGCCATTGGATTTGCTGACGGTTAGGGCTTCGAGATCTTTCCTTATTTTCGATGCGTGAGGTAGGGTTTCGAGGGTGGGGAGACATTTATAGAGGACGGGGAAGGAAGTGGATTAATCTGGACCGTTAAAGGGCTATACGTGGTGTGATTTGGAAGGGCCTAGGGTTTGTGGAGATTGGGGGCTGATTTTTTTTTATGTCTGTTTTAGGGGGTGAGAGGCACGTGACTTGGGGGCATTTCGGGTTTGGGGTACGGTTGGACTCAAATATCCGAATTCTCCATCGAATATACTCCTCGTAGAGAAAATCCTATCATCTATATATTCAAATACTAACTATTACTTTAAATTATTTTGCTAGCTCCTAGAGCAAGTGCATTAAGCTCCCAATTGGGAGTCCCAGTCAGCAAGCTCTCAAGAGCTCTCAAGCATCTTAGAATTAAAAATTAAAAAAATAAGCCTTGGGAGGCCCTTCTTCTTTTAGGGCCTGTTTGGTTATTTCCAAAAAAAAATCAGAAATGGAAAACTCATTCTTGAAATGATTTTAATACATTTCAAGCACATTTCCCAGATTTCTTTTTTTTTGGGTTTGTTTCGCAAAGAAAACTCCACATTTCAATGCCAAGTCACACAAACAGACAAAAAAGCCTCCATAGTAACAGTGCCCAGTTTTCTATTTCTTTTGTTTGTTTGACAACAAGAAATAGGAAATGAGAAATGGGGGTATTAAATATTATGTTTTATTATTCTGCACTATTCCAACAGTGCTTTTACTAATTAATAATTCTTAGATGGGACATTTCCAAGTGTTTTAAGCCCAATTTGGTATGAAAACACATTTCTTGAAAGTTGAGGTGACAGCCTACGTGGCGGTTCATTTCTCGAAAACTAAAAACGAAACAAACATGAGAAATAGAAATCTCTTGAAAACAAAATCCCATGTGGCACTTGTTCATTTCTTGAAAGTTGAGGTGGCAAGAGATTTCCGGATTTTTTTTGGCAAACGAACAGACCCTTATGGAACTCCAACAAGCTCCTAGTTAGGAGCTTCAACAATATCAAAAAAATCTCTCTTCTATTTTAATATTTTACTCATTACTTTCAATTATATTTAAACCTCTTGTATTTTATTTCTAACCGTTGGGATACGGCCTTCGAGGGAGCGCACACGGTCTTCGAGGTAACCCGCGGTCTTCGAGGGAACGCACACGGTCTTCGATATGGCCCGCGGTCTTCGAAAGAGCGCACACGGTCTTCGAGCTAACCCGCGGTCTTTGAGGTTGGGCCCGAAGTTCGAGGTATCGCAAACTTTGACCGTCAACCGACTGATTCCTATAAAATTCGATGCCTTCTCTCCTCAACCCATAATCTCCCAGAACAAAATGTCTAGCTCATCTAGCTCTAGCGATGATGAAATGATGAAGACGTTCTTTCTTATGGGAGTTGCTGTCGTTGAGGAAGAAGAACAGGAGAAATGTTCAACTTCAGTTCAACACAAAAGACGTATCGTGCTCCATCGAAACCGATTGGAAGGTCACAATCGGTTGTTCCAAGATTATTTTGCTGACGCACCAACCTATCCTCTTATTATTTTCGTCGAAGATTCAGAATGACGTGTTCGTTATTCCTTCGAATCCACGACGCAGTCGTTGAACATGACAAGTATTACGTCCAAAAGAGGAATGGTGCTGGATAGTTAGGACTATCCAACATCTTTGGAGAGGAATACCTTCGTTCACCGACTAATGAAGACGTTGCATGCCTGCTCGAGGAAGGTTCACAACGAGGTTTTCCTAGTATGCTTGGGAGCATCGACTGCATGCACTGGACATGAAAGAACTGTCCAACTGCCTGGCAAGGTATGTATACTGGACATTTTTATGAACCTACAATTATTTTGGAGGCCGTAGCTAGCAAAGATCTTTGGATATGGCATGCCTTCTTTGGACTACTGAGGTCTCACAATGACCTTAATGTTCTACATCGTTCACCGGTTTTCGCACAACTTGCGGAGGGAAGAGCTTCACCGTGCAACTATACTGTCAATGGCCACGAGTATAATATGGGATACTATCTCGCCGACGGGATTTACCCAGAGTGGTCCACATTAGTGAAGATTATTCCAGCACCTCGAGGAAACAAGCATAAGTACTTTGCTCAACAATAAGAAAGCGCAAGAAAAGATGTTGAGCGGACTTTTGGCGTGTTGCAAGCTCGATTTGCGATTGTTCGTGGACCAGGACGTTTCTGACAACCTTGTGTGCTGAAAGACATCATGACTGCTTGCATCATAATGCATAACATGATCGTTAAAGATGAACGAGATTGTTAATTGGACAACAACTTCGACTTTACTGATTCGGTACCAGTCGTTGAACCTTCTCATGTGCAGACGGTGCCTCTAACTGAGTTCATCCAAAATCATCATCGGACCAGGAACACACAAACATACAAATCACTAAAAAATAATTTGATCGAGCATCTGTGGCAGCTCAAGGGATCCATCGCCGAGGATTAAGTTTCTTTATGTCTAATATAATTTCAGAAAAGGAGTTCAAGTTCTTGTACTACGCCAATTTTATTTTCAATAAAGTAGTTGTTTTCATTCAATGCCAAAATTTTCAACTTCAAGTACAGTCATAAATCTAATACAAGATAATATTTGATAATTAGGAAGAACTAATGAGGATGCGATGCGAGTACAATATATGATAATTAGGAAGAACCCTTAGATATCCACCTCTCCAATATCTCTGTCTGACGCATTTCAAAGTATTATCATTAAACTGAATTGAGTGTTGAGAGATCCATCTTCATGATATCGTCATCTTGTTTCTTCTGTTTTAGCTCTATTTTTTGATTGGTGGTTTACTTCATCCACGCGAAAGCCTCTCCCATGATGGACTTAGCAGACTCAGAGTTTTCCACATTTTGTTTCCTCTTGAGCTTTGCCGCTTTCCTCCCTTCAGGCCTTGCTATAACATCATCTGAGTCAGTGTTCAACTCGATGGGGGTCGTTGGCATGGAATTGTTTGTTGATGAATCAGAGGTTGTGGTTCTTCTCGGCTGTGATCGAATATTATTGTAAGTTTTCATTTGCTGGATCCACTTTTGATGATGACGCAACTCAACCCAGCAATGGTCAAACACGAATGGCTTATCATAAAGAGATTGGTATAATTCTTTTACTTCTGCAGTCTACACAAGAGTTAAATTTAGAATAATCAAACATATAAGTTAAATATTTACATAAAAACATACAAGTTAAATATTTACCTAGTCAATAATTCTCATACCAGATCTTTGTCTTCCTTCAATCTGAGCAACACACCCGCAGAACTTGTTGACAGACAGTTGAATCGTTGACCAACGGTGCATCATTTGGTTTGGTGTGCGGCTCGTTGGATCGATGGAGTATTGGATAAAGTAGTCGTTAGCTCTGTGCCAAAACTTATCTTTATGTTGTCCCGTACCTTGGATGACGTCTTGGCTCGTGTTCAGCCAAGCAGACACAAGAAGCTTATCCTCGTGGACAGTCCAAATTTTGAAATGCGTGTAAGCCTTCTTCTTCTTTGTGGTCGGTGTTTCTTGGGATGACACTTGTTGTGTTACGGATTGCGATAACTCGATGGAATGACCTTCTTCTACGACTTCTGTATAGAACGGCGAGTATAAAGTCGATCCATCACCGGTAAGGAGTTGCGAATAGTAGTTGTTTTGGGAGGGATCCATGAGATTTGTAATTTGATAGGAGAATATAGAGTTTTTTTATGAGAGAGTTGTGTGGAATGATTTGTGTAGTGAATTGTGAATTTATAGAGTTTTTTTTACTGTTCAACGACATTATTTTTCAACTCTAACGGTTCATTTTTAACGGTCATTTTTAACGGCATTATTTTTCACTCAACGGGCATTTTTCAACTCTTCATGCTCATTTATTTCATTTATGGAATCTTGTGCAGCCAATTAAAAAAACTCAGCAAAAACTCTTCATTTTCTTCATCTCCGTCGCCCAAATCTTCATCTCCCCCAACCGAGCGCCCCAAATCTTCATCGCCCCAAATCTTCATCTCCGTCATTATCTTCAACTTAGCAAAAAACCCAGTCCTCTTCATCTCCGTCACCCCAAACCCAGGTCTCTTCATCTCCCCAACCGAGCTATCCAGACCTCTTCATCTTCCTTTGAATCCAGTCCAGGCCTCTTCATCTCCCGTCGAATCAAACCCGCCGTTGAATCAAACCCTCTCCCGCAACCTTCGCCGCCGTCGATCGGAGAGGGTCCAACTGCGAAGGTGAAGTTCGCGCCGCACACAAAAGGTTGGATTTTTTGCTTCAATTTTGGGCAGATTTTACTATTTTTTTCAGCTCTGCAATTGTGTACTTGGTGGGGGGGGGGGGGGTGTTAAATCCCAGTTGGGAGCTCCCAAGCGCTCCACAAATTTGTGGAGCGCTTGGGAGCTGCTCTCAACAGCCACGTCAGCCTAAGGAGCGGTTAAGAGGTTGTTAGAGGGGGGCTGTTGTTTTCCGCGGCCACGTCAGCCTTAAGTGCTCTCTTCAGAGCTTTCTGCCCTTGCTCTTAATACATGTAAAACAGTGTGAAAGAGGGGCTTTACTATTT